ATATATATATAATTTTGCTATTGTGTAATCAAATCATTCTTAAATGACCAAAGAAATGAAAGTTGCAAGTTAGAAAAGGAACAAAAGGAAAAGAAAAGAAAGAAGCAAAGAAAAGATTCCTGTTCCGTGAACTCACTGTGTATTGATATGTGTAAGAACTGTGTTACGTGAATAACAAACTGCTTTGGGCTTGATTTGAAGTATTTTGAGTTTCTGTTTTGCAAATATTGAAGTTCTGATAACGGCAACAGAAAAGGAACAGACACACAGCTTTACACTTAGCAAAATGTTACATTTAAAATCTGACAGGAAGCCAAGATGGTGACTGTCTCTTCTAAACCATAAAACACTCAGATTTGTGCAATCCTCCTCCTCTTCCACCTCCTTCAGGAGAATTAAATGAATCAAGACTTTGGAAAGAGGGGAAACAGCCTGGACTTGGCAGTACTTGAAATAGGAGGAATACAGCAGCCTAAATGTACCGACTTTGTAACCGAGCCCACTCGATCAGTCTGTGCCTTCACATGACCACCATCTGTGCCTCCCCCGCTCCATCCAAATTTGTGTAGGCAGCTCCTTGGAGCCAGGCCTAAAAATATAGTTACACGAGGCCCTAGAAACTGTAGTCAAGTCACAGGCCTAACTTTTCTCCTTCTTTGGATTAAAAGTCTATATTCTTTCTTGAGGGGTTGGTTCCCAGCTGCGCACATCAATGTGTTTGTTCTGATGGCCAGGACCCATTATATGTGTGTTCTCTGTTCATGTCCAGGACATCAGAATCTTTTATTATTCTTACTAGAGGCCTGGTGCATGACATTCATGCACTGGGGTGGGGGTGGGGGTTGTTTACCTCAGCCTGGCCTGTACCCTCTTGCAGTCAGGGACCCCAGGGGTCCTTAGCGCAGCTGCGAAGAGGGGAGAAGCTCCCACCACCTCCACTGCACTCGCCAGCTGTGAGCCCAGCTTCTGGCTGAGCGGTGCTCCCTCTATGGGAGCACACTGACCACCAGGGGGCAGCTCCTGCGTTGAGCATCTGCCCCCTGGTGGTTGGTGCGCACCATAGTGATCAGTCCTTCAGCCGTTTGGTTGATTTCCATATTAAGGTTTTATTATATAGGATACTTCCCTTTTTGCATGCAGTGTATCTTGAATATGTTTATAGGTCTTTAGTAAAGGGTTGGTTAGAGTGTATACAAAGGAAATTCTGAGGGACAATGGTGAGCAGTATTTAAAGAAAATCATGCCCTAGCTGGTTTGGCTCAGGGGATAGACCATTGGCCTATGTTCTGAAGGGTCCTGGATTTCATTCTGGTCAAGGGCACATGCCAGGGTTGTGGGTTTGATCCCCAGTAGGGGCGTGCAGGAGGCAGCTGATCAACGATTCTCATCATTGATGTTTCTATCTCTTTCCCGCTCCCTTCCTCTCTGAAATCAATTAAACACACACACATACACACACACACACACACAAACATATAATAAAGAAAGAAAAAAGGAAAATCAGAAAAGAATTTCAATGGATCATACCCTATCAGGAAGTATACCTTGACCTTTTGTAGGGATTATCTCTGGCCTATTGTTATGTAGCCATACATTTCTATAAGTCATGTTGGCTCTCAGTTCTGACTATCCTCAAATAACTCTATCATTTTTTAGATGTACACTATATTCAGGATACTTTTAAAAAGAGCGGATAGCCCTAACTGGTTTGACTCAGTGGATAGAGCGTCGGCCTGCGGACTCAAGGCTCCCAGGTTCGATTCCGGTCAAGGGCATGTACCTTGGTTGCGGGCACATACCCAGTAGGGGGTGTGCAGGAGGCAGCTGATCGATGTTTCTCTCTCATTGATGTCTCTAACTCTCTATCCCTCTCCTTTCCTCTCTGTAAAAACATCAATAAAACATATTGAAAAAAAGAGAGCCGATGGCCAAGTACATTTACCCACAGTGGAAACATTATTTGGATAAAGACTCAGTGGTCCACCCTATAAAATGAATATCTTGATTTGTTTCTTCTGATTTTCTAGTAATTTATTATCTCAATTGATTATCCCTTTCAAAAATATCGGTCTGTGCTTTGGTGCTGTGGTTTCATTCTTGCGGCATTGATGAAATAGTGATTAGAAAACACAGTTCTTACCTCTGTGACTGAGGTGGCTGTTTTTAAAGGGGATGTGTATCATGCAGATTTTCTTTGTTAATAAAATTTTCATAATCCCTGAAGACACTGTGTTTGGATGTGCTTTTAAGTGCGGGAACATTGCATATGAACTGGTATATGTACAATCTCTCAGATTCATGTTTACTTTACAAATCTGGCTTTGGGATATACCAGAACTAATATTCATTTTGACCCCATTGTTTCAGGGACTATCTTTACTTTGGTACACTACACCTATCATAGCAGTTAAGGTGGTAAACGCTCCCTAGGCAAAGGGAGCCGGAGCTGGAAAATATCTTGCCAAAGGTACTTAGAACGCTGATCTTCATTTATATTCATTAATGCCAAGTAAAGCTTGGTCTAAAGAAAGGCATCCATGCTGAGTGTCACATGTTCCATCACAGTATACATTTAATTACATAGAAAATCAGCTGGCCTAACCCATTTCAAATCTGAACACAAGGAGTCCTTTTTACCAACTCTGAGGCTACTTAAATA